AGAGAGAGAGAGAGAGAGAGAGAGAGAGAGAGAGAGAGAGAGAGAGAGAGTCTTATTCAGATGAAAAAGATTGCCCGTCCCAGGGACACTGGGAACACGAGGAGTCCTCTACCTCATCACAATGTCGAGGCGTTTTCCATGTTTTCTCTCAGAGAGTTTCTGAAGTTTGCTTGCAAGAGTCATGTGGTTCTGTAGGATACGTGTAGGGCAAATTGTTGCGGACCAAATCCTGCAGCAGCGCGATGCTCTCCCATTGGCTGACCCTCTCCCACCACAGCTGCCACCGTCGTCTGCCCATAGAGAGGGATTCAATAATGAGGGAACCCACGACGCCTGATCAACATATCAACATTTATCTTGAATTACTACGACATTCTTTCTTTTTTTTTTTTTTTTTTTTTTCTACGACATTCTTATTTTATGTTATACTCAAGAAGATGTACATCATTTTGACAGTAATGGCTATGCGGCTCTATGACGATCCACCTGAGATCTGGTTAGCACGTGGGTTGCGTGCATAGTGTCGTTAGGATTCTGAAGGGACAGCTCGTGCCAGTTTTTTTGTTCACAGATGTATGATGACAGTCAATACTGTACTCACGTACGGCACCCTGACATGTCCTGTCCAATTTGCCCTCTACAATTGCGTTGGGCACGGCTCTGTGTTCCTCGCATGTGGGAGCCACGTGGCCTGTGACATCTGCCTCCGTTGTGCCTTTCGCTGCAGCAACTGCAACTGCAAGCGAGGAGGCTTTGGGATGCGATGCTTCCACAGCCCGCACACAGGAACGGGTGCTGTCCGGTCTGTAGGGGTGCCCCCTTACCATAGGCCACGGACCACGGGTACTCCTGAACACAAAATCCCCAGCAGCCACCATAGGCCTCTTACCATAGGCCCCTTACCATAGGCCACGGACCACGGGTACTCCTGAACACAAAATCCCCAGCAGCCACCATAGGCCCCTTACCATAGGCCTCTTACCATAGGCCCCTTACCATAGTCCACGGACCACGGGTACTCCTGAACACAAAATCCCCAGCAGCCTGAATGCTGACTGACCTCTGGTGTCATTCTAAGAATGGTCTGCACGAACAGTGCGTTCTCTCTCTCTCTCTCTCTCTCTCTCCTCCTTTTGTACCCCCTCCCCTCCCCTTGTGTACTCCCTGTCCATGCGTGCTCCCGCGTCTTGTGTGTACTACTGTAATAAACACATACGAATGAGCATCACCAAGAGAATATAGACAAAATACAAGTCATCCCTTTGACCCTTGCCTCCTTTCATAACGTGAAAGTGGGCCGTGAAGGCACACAGGGATGTGGGAAGCTGGCGCTTAACCATCATCAACGTGGCCAGCCGTGTACGCGAGAGGCACAGTAAGAGGGGTGTTGTAAGAACAAATAAACTAGGAGGCCGCCCAACTATAATAATAGTGAATATAGTCAAGAAAACTATAGAATTGATCGACAGTGTTTCGTATTGCTAAATGTCTCATTGTTGGGCAGGCCCCTCTCTGCAATGCTTGCATACAGGTCAGGTTCCTATGATTTTGGGTCTCCTCATATAGGCATTTGCTTGCAGAAAGGTAAGTTGCTGCGATTTTGGACCTACTCGTCTGGTTGGAACAGGGGATGTTGTGGTGAACATTCACAACACAAGACGCAAACACAAGACACAAACACAAGACACAAACACAAGGCACAAACACAAGGCCCAAATAAACACAAGGCCCAAACAAACACAAGGCCCAAACAAACACAAGGCCCAAACAAACACAAGGCCCAAACACAAGGCCCAAACACAAGACACAAACAGAAGACAAACAGAAGACACAAACACAAGACACAAACACAAGACACAAACAGAACACACAAACAGAACACACAAACACAAAAGCGCCCACCATACTCACTGCTCTTTTGTTCGGGTCGCATTCTCCCTCTGATATCTGAAACATTCCGAAACAGCAATGATGCGTGAGGCCTAATCTTTTTCCCTTGATGGGTGGTCACCAGATCACCACCTGATCAGTTCCCTTGATGGGTGGAGCAGCAGATCTCTGCCTGATCTGTTCGCAGCGGGTGATTAGTTCTCTAGGGGTGAACAGCAGATGACCACCAGATCTGTATCTGAGGGGTGATCAGCATATCACCACCTGGCTGTGCTGCCACGTCGCAGTGTGGCTCATCTCTCTCTCTCTCTCTCTCTCTCTCTCTCTCTCTCTCTCTCTCTCTCTCTCTCT